TGCTATTGTTTCGATCAAGGCAAGTTGTCGAAATATCAACCAATCTTTTTCTTCATTCTCCTGGTTTTCTCGGAGGAATAGGGCTATTACTACTGTTTTATCTATGCAGAATACCTTAGACCAGATCGCCAAAAGAAAGGAGCATAGCATGCTATTTTGTCGATCCTTTACACGCGCCCGGGTGGCCGGCTAAATGCCCCTCGCGCGGGTGGGAGGGTCAGTTTGCCCCCCCCCCCCCTGAGATCTCGAGAATTAACAGAGTCAGAGACACCAAATTCACAGAACGTATTGACCTGTACGTGAACTCATTTAGGTCCAATTTTATGGTTCTTAGGTCATGATCTTGGGGTCAAAAAGGTCAAACAATGTCAAATCCCAGGCTGGTCTCTAAAGTCCCCTCGAAACCTAGATAGCTGTTTTTAGGCACAAGGTCACGTGCTCAGTTTGAGTCAGTGACCTTGCTTGACCTTCTGAGGGTCATGATGACCAAAATCATACAAGTCTGCTCTGAATGTTTCATTTGGATAAGCGACAAAAGATTATGCTAGGCAGTATGTTTCTAAAAACAATATGTTGACCTGGGTCATTTTACGTCAATGGCGTATGTTTACCTCTAATAAGTCCATGGAAGATGTATAATACGGTTCCTGCTATCAATAGATTCGAAATGAGCAGCAAAAGCTATCCCATACAGCAAGCCCTAGAGAAGTAAAACAGGCTGGTTTTGACCTTGGTCTCACCGCTATACCTGATCTTATGTCAACGTTATTTGCTCATTTAATATTTGTGTCGCCTAAGAAAGCATTTCAGAGATGCGTGGCTTCGTCTAACACTTCATTGTTGCATTATATTGAACGATTTCCTAGAAATTGACTGAATCGCTGAAACTATAGCCTGATTTTGACCTCCCATAAATCAGTGACCTTACAAGGTACATCTAAATTTGTGACATCAAACGTTCTGCTATTCAATTGTCTACAGCTATGCAAAATTTGGTGCGGCTGCACCACGCCGTTTGGAAACCATTCTGGAAAAACCTTCGGGGCGAGGGGCCAAATTGACCCCCCACCCGATCGCGTCTTAAACCTCTCCTCACGATAAGGTGTTTATGGCGATGTACAGACGAGCATTGGACAGAGTCAGACGACGTCGTTATCACTTACCTTTTGAAAAAGGATTCATGGGCGTGAGATGCCGTCTTCAAAACGGCTAATATCATCAATCACAAATCACAAAACGGCTAATAAGATGGTGATTTGTGCTTGCTTGAATGATTGAATTACGAATGCTTAATTTACAATAGCTTCCTGGTTTGATTTCAAAACGAATACGTTAAATAACACAATGAAGTCCATGTGCGGGCTTCTGTGCTCCACTGCTTGCAAACTTTGCAGGTCATATTGCAGAAAAGTTGGCGGCTGCTAACATTTCTAAGTACTTTGGCTGTTAAAGGAAATGTTCCACATTTAAATGTGGTGAAGCAAGCATCAGATGCAACGAAAAAAGTTGCTGATCACTATCGGAAAACTTTGTATAGAGGAGACTGCTGTAGACAACACAATTCATCTCCTTGGCACATATGCTCCTCGATGCGTCATTGTTTGAAAACGCCATTGTGCCTTGCCTAACATTGAGGGCCAAATGACGGCCGTTATATCTGGAAATTGTGCTCGTGAACGCCAGATGTAAACGGCTCGGCCATTATAACTCTTCTCGGCCTTGATCGCCGCATGACTTGTTCAATGGCAAGATTCGAATAGCGTTATTAGGACGTCATGATGACCTTATGATGACCTTATGATGACCATGGGTGACCTTAAAACACTCTCCCCGGAAAACGCTCCCCATTTTGTGGGTGTGTAGCTCAGGAAATAGACGGATTTAGGTTTCAAGGACAGGGCTGTGAGCTGTACTGAAAAGTCTTTACGATGGCTGTTTTAGTTAAAAACTTCATATAAATGTGGAATACTCCCGTTAAGCATCGAACTCTAATACATGTTTGAGTGACATTTATATAACTAAGCGTTATTTCTATTTCTGTGAAAAGAGGTTATATATCAGCTTAAAGTCTGAAAGGCTGCCCAAGATAACCAGTCTCATCGGTGGGACCCCCACCGGTATCTTTTGAAACCAGTAAAGTGCTGACCTCGTATGGCCTCGACGCTTTTAAAAACATGGCAGTAGGCGATTTTATCTAAGTGATCGCGTCAGGACTAGGACCCCAGGCACCCACTGCCTGCATTCGTGGTGCAAACGCGGCAGTCCGTTCCGCAGCCGCCGCAGCGCGCGGCACCAACGCGCCTGTTGCGGTGGCGTAGACGCTCCTCCGCAGGTTCCACCACCTGTGAAGCCTATGCCGTCCTCCTCTGGCGAATGGGAGGACGCGTGGTGGACCTCGAAGGGTAGCGGGGGCTTTCCTCGCACCGGGGCAAGTTCACCGGCCGACCGTCACCTCCCCCCCCCCCCCCGGTCACAGCGCCCTCCGGGGGCAGGTTGGCAGGCCGACCCGACGGGCTGGACCTGGGGGCGCATGGACGTGCTGCTCGTGCAGCGCACCCAGGGTCTTGCACTCCTGCGCCAGCTACCACTCCCCCCTTCCTCCAGTGCTTACACTGCCTCCGGTGGTTGTGATGGGTCCGCCCCCGGGTTCTCCGCCGGGGGCCGCTAATGCACTTGCTCCGTGCATAGCGTCGTTCCTCGCCCAAGGCCGGGGCTCAAAACGGGACCACCGTGGCCGTTGTCTTCCACGGACGTTGGGACCTCAAAGGTCCTGCTCAGGGCTCGGTCTGCATCTGCCGACGCCGTACGGCGCGATGTGCAGCCGTTTGGGCTGGAGCCGAGCCCCACTTTTAAGTTAGTGACTTTTTCTTGATTGGCGACTGGGACCCACCACGTCGTTCTCAATGTTACAACGGAACATTCGCGGGCTTAGGACCGACGTCACCGACCTGCAGCGGCTCCCGCTCTCCCTTATCCCCATGATAGCGTGCTGGCAAGAAACAAAGCTTTCTTCCAACAACGAGCAAGCCATAAAATGCAAACCGCATGTTCAGAGATGGCGTGAGGTTGTGCACGATCGCCCATGGTGGTGCTGCCGTTCCAGTCCATGACAGCTTGCCCCGCGCTGAGCTCGCTCTTCGTGCTGTACCGCGGGCTGTCGCCGTAGCTGTTGACCTAGGGGGTAGTTCAGGCGACCGGTTGCTCCATGCACCTGCCACCAACGGAGGTCTCGATTGGTTCATCGCTGGAATCCACCTTCAACCAGCCGCCTTCATCGTTTTTGGTTCTTGGTGATTTTAACTCGCATAACTCGACGTGGGGTTGTGATCTTACCAACAGTAGGGGAAGGAGGCTTGAGCGTCTCCTCAACAGGAACAGTCTGTGTGGTTTAAACACTGGACTGCTACGTTTCACTGTCGTCACCTAGCACTTCTACTATCGATCTTTCAGTGTGTGCGCCAACACTTAACAGCCAGTTTTCTCGGCTTGTTGATGGATCTCCGCTAGGCAACGATCCTTTCCCGTCTGGCTGGCTCTTAATGCTGCCCACCCAGGTATCCGGCCGCCGAGATGGAACCTCCGACGAGGCAACTGGTCCTGCGTTTACCGCCGGGTGTTTGCCCCTCATTCGGAGATTGGACTACATGTCCTATAGATCACGTCAATTCTGTTATCGTTCAGGCAGCCGGAGAATCCATCCCAATGAAGTCTTCAAAACCACGGCGGCTGCCGGCGCCTTGGTGATTAAAGCTATGTAAAGCAGCCGTTTTAAGCAGAAAAAGAACATTCAGACGTTTCAAATTGTCTTCCACGGATAACCTTATTTTGGTCAAGCGAGTCCGAGCGCAGTGGGTCAGGTCAGGTCAGGCAAGCGCTGTGTGTGGGTCAGGCTAAGCGCTGTTCATGACAGGACTACGTGACAAGTATTAATAATTTTACTTACTTGACGCAAGTATGAAGGCGCATTCGCATAATTTCTGGTTAGTGCCCCTCTAGTCCATTCCCATGCCTAGCCATAGGTAACACCACTGTTACCAACACAGCAGAAGTGGTTAACGAGATTGGCCGGGTGTTGTCGTAGCGGTGTGGTGGTGGGTTCCCCGATCCAAGTTTATATATCTGAAATATCTGAAAACTGAGCATTCTCTAGTAAGCGGAGTCTTGCAGCGGACGGCGGCGTCTGAGCGGGCTGGACGGTCGGTGGTCTTTGTCTGGGTGCCGGGGTACATCGGACTGGCTGACAACGATACAGCTGATGCTGTTGCCAAGGAGGGAGCAACTGGCCGGCGACCCCGTTCAGCTTACGTACCGTTCCGCGATTTCAAGCAGCTGCTGCCCCTTGTTTGAGGGAAAATTGGCAGTAGACCTGGGACCGGGTGAGCGTGGAATCTGAAGGTAATGGGAAAAACAGACTTCGTGCTGTAAAAGAAAAGGTTGGCGAGTGGGCAAATTCTCACCTTTTCTTCTCTCTTGGACCTCTTCTCCTCTTCCAAAGGACCTCTTCTCACAAGAGAAGAGGTCCTTTTTTGACGTCTCCGTATCGGCCATTCTTGCGGAGCACATAGCTTTCTTCTATCAGGAGGTCAAGCCCCCACGCGTCCGCAATGTGACCACTCGCTGTCAGTTGCTCACGCGTTGGTTCAGTGTCGCCAGTCTGCTGATGAGCGTCGGCGCTACTTTGGCTGCAGCACACGTCGCGGATTGTCCGGGCGTTCCCTCTCATTCATAGGCGCGAATCCTACCGTTGACGTCAAGGTTGTTGAGTCTTTTATGAATGACATCGGTTTTAGAGCCATATACTCACCTGTTTAATGATTACTGACTCCGCGTTACTTGCACTATGTAGAGCCTACCCCAGCAAAATAAGTCCACGCCCCTAAAACCACGGATAAGCTAGACGCGTAATTATCCCTTGACACATTTAGGGGCGCAGACGGGTGCTGCAGTTGAGGCGTCCCTGAATTCAAATATCGTCATCATCCTTTTATTTGAAAGTCAGCTGACTGTTAGCTCGATCCAATGTATTAGCCCTGAAACTTCTCGTGCTAGCTACAGAGTATCATGCCACAAACGTATGACATCTATTTACAGTCGCTATAGACCTCATAGACTATTGTCAAACCGGCACCGGTCGGAACCTTCGTTAGTGGGTGCTTTAGTAGCACAGCTAAACAAGGCTCCTCAAATACAACTATTTACACTAAGACAGGTAACGGGTATCGAAGTAAAATAAGAATAATATTACGACCTGAGTCACGTGACACGGGTAGCAAATACACACCAAGCACCTCCCAGGTGTACCTTAACCTAATCCACAGAACCGATCTCACTTTGGTCAGTTCGGTACTAACGCCGCTGATGTTCATGCTTTTGCGCTAGCCAGATGACGTCCAAGAGACGGACAGGCGAGACCAATACAGGTTTCTCGGGGTTGCTGATGGCTTCTAGCCGTCACTGAAGCAGCTTGTTTAAAGCCTCTGAGAAATGGGACATTGCCTATGCTATGTCACTGGACCGTTGCAGTTTTAATGGCAGCAGAAAGTACAAACAGACAACAATATGAAGACACTTTCAGCATGAGTCTGGAGGTCTGACGATAAGTGCTCGACCTTCAAAGTACCTGGGGATGCTGGGTAAAGTGCGTGATAGACAAAACATCGGTTAGATTGAGCGTGCTCGTCTTTTCAGCTAGACGGATAATCATGTTTAACCAGCGCACCATGGTATACTGACGGTCGATAACTGAGCAGGAGGACTTTGAACTCAAAGCGCCGAAAAACAACAGAAGCTGAAGGTCTTTCTTGCGTACATGAAGTTCATTTCACATCGGAGGTATGATGTATACACGCACGGGATGTCACGTTAAAAAGAGGAAATTAAACCCTTCCTCCAACTAAGCCAAAATTGCAGAAAAACGTTTGCGCGCAGGGCTGGCGGAGAGGTAGCGGCACCGCCAGGCTACCTGAAATCCTGTCGAAAGTCCCATCCTCATTTCTGGAAGCGTTCGTCCCATTCCTTCCGCGTTCTTCTGCTGCTTCTCCCGGTCAGTTGCGTTTCCCCCCGGGTATCTCAGATACTCTGAATACTCCTCTCCCTTTCGGTATCATCCCGCCTGACTTTTCTCAGAGAAGCAGACGGCTGGCAGTGGTGACTACAGTAAGCGAGACTAGGCTCAGAAGGCTGTGCCGGCCGGCTGCCCCGCTCGTGCGTCCCTGCGGGCACGCGGTCGCCTCCGCCACCAGAGGCTCGAACTCAGGGTACGAAAACGGTCCCGCGTGCTGTGGACGGAGGAAGCACGGGCATTAGGCAGATGACGAGAACGAGCACGGAACCGTCCAAAGAGCCGTATGCGACTGTTTTGTCTCAGGTGTGGATCTCCCACGGGGAGCTGATCGCCAACGATTCATCGCAGCCTCCACCCCATATATCAGGAGAAGCGCAGTATTATTCTGCAGCTAAGCTTGCTGCCTGCAAAAAAAGGGCGATACATGTTTGTTCAAGTTCAGACGAGGTAGGACACTCCATTGACTGTACATTAACGCAATGCGTGGTTTGTTATTCAGTTAGTTAGAAAGTTCTTTTCCCGATTTCCCCTGATATCAACGCTTTTAACACGCAAACTGCTGGGGTCTTGGCTAGTGCTGCCCTCTATGTTTGTTGATTCGGGCCGTGACCCGAGCGCCAGCAGGGAAGGTCGGGCCTCGCTGCGAGTGAGCATCAACATTGTTCCGTGTGAGCTGTTGCGTTCCTGCTACAAGAGCTGCCAATCGGAGGGAGTGAAGACGGTACATAGACGTTGTGCACGTATCCCTCTGTATTCGCGGGCCTTGATGCGGTCAACGATATCTCTCAAGGAGAATTACGTACGGCGCGACATGCCAGCTTTCATGGTACGCTTACTTGACATGCCTTGATGTGCTTCAGCAGCTGGCTTACCTCTTCTCTGTAGTCGCTCTGTAAGACCAGTTTATCGTTTTGACACCGATGGAAGACTTGGCCACCGTTGACCTGCGCCTGCAGGGCATCCACAGCTGGCTGTCCCCAGCTCATCTGAGTCAGGTACTCGTACAGGGTGACGGTCGGCGAGCCTGTGAGGTCACACCTTACTCGTGTCACGGGGGCACAGCGCCAAACGTGCTCTGTCCTAGTTATTTCTGGTCTTCCCAGACTGTCAACGTAACATGAAGTGCGGCCGCACAAGGCGTGATTAATGCGTGCTTGCGTTCTGGTTAAGATCCAAAGAGCTAGCAATGCATTACGGGTACACCTCATATGATGCGCGAGCAATAGGCAGTCGCATTATAGCCACAGTCCCGCAATGCGTAAGTTGTCAGAAGTTGCATCATTTACAAACATGTGTAGAAACCATTCCGTTGCATCAGTTGCCGTCTTCTCATCACGTGCGCGTACCTTCCACTGACACCTTCATGGTACTAAGCTGGGCTTTATTGAACCAATCGTCGCGAGACCCCTCGGCGGAGGCATTAGTCGCCGATCCGATATTCTCTTCGTCTTCCGTCTCGTTTTTCAAAGCCTGAAAACGTCGATGTTCGGGCCCTGTGAGTGGGAGGCAGTTACCCACTTTTTCCCACGTGGCTTAAGGGGCGGATTACATCAGGGACCACGGTCACATTGGCCGGGCATTCTGGCCGTTATTTCACATATGACGGACGGGCTTCTGTGTGACGTAGTCTGGCCAAGTAGACGACTAACGCTTGTTGGAGGAGCGTCTAATTCTGAAGGTCTGAAGACAGTCAGTCAGCATACGAATATTTTCAACTCAACGAACATCAATAGTTTAGCCCAGGGAGTACCTTCACTCTTACCATAAGCTGGTTGGCGCCATCCGCTTTGTATTTGAACCCGCCGACGGTCCAGACGTCCCCTCCGCTGACCGGGCTGAAACAGTGGCTCACTTTGGAAGTCCGACGAGGCAGTGCGAGATCCACACGCATGTCAGCAAGGAAACCTTTTCGGTCGTGAGACGTCCAAGATTTGAGTATATGCCCCCCGCCGAGAGTTCGGCGACCTCACGCAAGCTTTACGCGAGCTGTTCAGTGCGTCAGCGAGGAACATTATTCACATAGATAAGGCAGAAGTTTTAGCCTCATTCCTCGGAGGAAACCAGGAGAATGGAGATATAGTTGGGTTGATATTTCGGCAACATGGCTTCATTGAAACCATAGCAGAAGACTTGCTATTGTTTCGATGAACGCATGTTGCCGAAATATCAACCCAACTATATCTCCATTCTCCTGTTTTTTTCTCGAGGAATAAGGTAGTACTACTGCCTTAACTCATCTTACACCTTGCGACCTTAAATGCAGCTGCACGTGCAAGAAACCAGCAAGAAGACGAGCTCCGCGCGCAACAGGTGTACTTACGGCAGCTCCAGGCCAGTGACCTCCACCGCTCGCACGCCCAGGTCCTTCAGATAGTGGCCCACGTGAGGGTAACTGCCACAGCCGTGCAGGTGCGTCCGCGGGTAGTACGTCAGGAACGCCAGGCACATCTCGTTCCGGGTGGCGAATCCACCCTGTACGCAGCGAGCAAGACAGAGCGCCGTGGCGAATGGCACGTCGAATCAAAGGTGGAACGTCACAGGAAACGGCATGGTGTTGTCTTGTGTAATGACACGGTGACATCACAGAATATTGTCTTGCATAATGGCATGGTGACGTCACAGGATGTTCCGTCCTTCGCTAAGATGATTTCATAACGTTTTACGCTGTTGTTAGGGATCACAGAGAAGTAATTTGTTTACTCATACAGTGTGCACATGTGTCTCTCCCCACTTAAGTAAGTCAGGAGGCCACAAATGGCGTTCTACGATCCGCACATGCTCACCAATCTATTACATATGTACATTATGCAATGAGATGGTTGCAAACGACTACGTCGGCTCCTTTGCCATCAAGCTGACAACAAGATCGCTTGGTTGCTTGATGGCAAAGGTGGCGGTTGCTTCGGATGAGATCTCTAGGCCTTGTCTTGCGCCTGACCACGCGGTGTGGTGTAAGCAAACGTTGATTTGCAATCTATGCTAACCTGGACGATGGTATTCATGGATTGCCAATGACCATACGTAGGACGACTGTTTTTACTTATTTCCGTCTGGCACCCAGTGACTGCGAACCATCACACATGCACTACCAGAGTTGCGCCGGTAGTCACCGGTAGGTGGCAGCTGTGTTAGGTCATTACCAATTGGTAGTAATGTAGGCAATAAACCAGTAAGGTAATACTACCAGCAGTTAGGTCAGCTGGCTACCGCCGTACATTACAGACGCTCCCAGTGTTAAACTCCTTGTGCCGATGACTTGTTCTCAACATCTTGTAGCAAGGGGTACCTCGACTTTCACTTTTATTTCAGTGTGGACGTTATTGTGCTGTGGAGACCAGAGGGGGCAGCATCATATCTATTCATTGAGGGCGGACAGGCAAAAAAAAATATCCAAACACAACGGTGGAATACTACAACGCCGCTTGAGAAGGAGTTGGGCACGCCACGGCAGAACGTCACGGTTCAGTGTTACGACGACACGGTACGGCGGAGCGCTCAAGCGAATGACGTGGCGGACGAGGGATTTGGCGCCGGATCATCGAATGCCAGTCATAAGTCAGACATGATGCTCACCATGGTGACGTTGGTGCGGTCCTCCGTGTTGTACCCGCAATCCAAGAGAAGTGTGTCGCCAGGCAGGATCCGCACCTTTTGGCTCATTATGCGACTCTGCTGAAAGTTGAAGTCGTAGGTCCAGTCTGCAACGTGCCGAGGCGTGTGAGGCACCTGCCCGCTGTCAGCAAAAGTTAAGTTTGGAGAGACATTAGCGGATGGACGCCTGCCTTTGAAATGTTCACTATCATATGCAAAAATGACAATCGCTGGCCTGCCAGACACCATCCCACGTGCATTGGTTCTGAAAATAAGCAGCGTTTTAACATGTAACCGCTGGAGATTGCCGGAAAATACAAAAGTCAAAGCCATCGATTGCACGAATTCTTCTTGGAGGTTGGCTTTTTAGTTTATTTTGTCGCCAATAATGCTCACCGTTTGATGGATTACCTTAAGGTAGGCAGCCACGACTAAAACAAATTGTGAGTATCAGACGCAGCTTTGATGAACATTGTTCTCACACCTTCAGCAGAAGAGGCCACGAGATGGCTGATATCGAATGAGTTGTTGACATAGGCTATGTAATGTGTCTGTTTTTGAAAAGATACGTGGCATTTGTATCATTTTTTATAAGACCATCAATACATACAGCTTGAACAGCAGATTTGCCATGCGCCCAACTGGATAGCCGTTTTTTTTCGTGCGTCTGGCTAGCCACCCGCCTACTAAACGTTAAACCCTGCACGCAGTTCGGAGGCTCTCAGGACCTAAACGTCAAGGTGGCGCAGTGGTTATCCCCCCCAGATCTCGCCCTGCTCGTCGGTGAAAGGTCCCCGCGACGGACCAGCAAGAACGGCAACATCCGGCGGGAGCGCTGCCTCCCACCCAGCGTCTCACCGTGAGCGCTGCCTCTCTCCCAGCGTCTCAGCGTGAGCGCTGCCTCTCTCCCAGCGTCTCAGCGTGAGCGCTGCCTCTCTCCCAGCGTCTCACCGTGAGCGTCGCCTCCCGCCCAGCGTCTCACCGTGAGCGCCGCCACCCATCCAGCACCTCAGCATGAGCGTTGCTTCCCACCCAGCGTCTCACCGTGAGCGCCGCCTCTCTCCCAGCGTCTCAGCGTGAGCGCTGCCTCCCACCCAGCGTCTCACCGTGAGCGCTGCCTCCCGCCCAGCGTCTCACCGTGAGCGCCGCCACCCATCCAGCACCTCAGCATGAGCGCTGCCTCCCACCCAACGTCTCACCGTGAGCGCTGCCTCCCACCCAGCGTCTCACCGTGAGCGTTGCTTCCCACCCAGCGTCTCGTCGTGAGCGCTGGCTCCCTCGCAGCGTCTCACCGTGAGCGCTGCCTCCCTCCCAGCGTCTCACCGTGAGCGCTGCCACCCATCCAGCGTCTCAGCATGAGCGCTGCCACCCATCCAGCGTCTCAGCATGAGCGCTGCCTTCCACCCAGCGTCTAGCCGTGAGTGCTGCCTCCCACCCAGCGTCTCACCGTGGGCGACGGACGGCAGCTCCCGGCCATTCCTGACGTGGCGCAAGTTGAGAGTCCTGCCCGCCAGATGCGCGTGCAGCAGGACAGAGTGGATCTGCACACCTTCGATGGGCAGGTGCTGAAAGACATGACAGCGACTGGCTTCAAAGCACGAACAGCTTTGCGTGCCGGTCACGTTGGATCTGATGTCGCTGGCATTCTTTTTGGTCTGTTTGGTGGCGACGCGTGACACGTTGCGTTGAGCCATGCATATATATATATATATATATATATATATATATATATATATATATATATATATATATATATATTCAATAAATACGGGAACCCATCTCAACGTGCGTAGTCTTATAAAGCTCTACGCATACACATATATGGAGAGCTCATTCATTTTATACAGTTCATGCTCAATCCTGGGATTCTGAGGCCAAGTGTTTCGGAAAAACAGGCTACATAAACTCAAGCTGGCTGCCAAATACCATCAAAACCAAGTACGGACTTGGTTCCTGGCAAGTTTGTGGCTAGCCGGCTGGGCGATGTAATCAACTGATGGCTGACGACTAACGCGATTTTTTTCCTTTGTTATAAAGGAATCCAAAATACCCTAGCATTTAAAATATTTTAAAAGCGTGATGCACAAGTAGACTAAGTGTCACACATTCAATAGCCAACGGGGAATGACTCACACGAAGTCGGCGACACCTAAAATTACGTCCGACAGTTACGCGTAAAAATTCATCGGCGCATATTCAACTACTGCTTTAAGGCTGAAGTACAAAGGCCAATAGGGATGGAACCTGGGCGATCATGGGTGCAGCAGCAGCCCAAGAAATAGACTCCCGTCAATAAGTATAGGGTCCTCAGGGCAAAAGAAAAGAGCCTATGATCAACGTGGTGGGCCGTTGGACCCTCTGAGCATAGGTAATTGCCCAAGACCATTAATTAATACCCCTGTGTGATTGAGAGTGCCCTGGCAGGTTAACAGAAAGAGCCTCGATAGGAGTGGAGAGTTCTCCACAAATGAGATAGAGCCCTCCATTAAAAAAGTACCCAAAATCTAGTGCGGAGGGTTCCAAAAGATGGAGTGTACCCGAGTAGCAGTGTAGCGGCAGCAGAATAGCGTACATATCAGATGGCCCCGATAGGAGCGTAGGACCCTTAATTTTAACACCAAGACCCAAAATGCAGGGCACCGAACAGTCCAGTGCTGCAGAGGAGGCGAACAGGGAGGGGGGGGGGGGGGTGCTCCGACAAGTGCGTAGGGCCCTTTACTCAAAACGGGAGCACTCAAGACCCAATGAAGAGGGTCCCCGAACGATCGAATGTGCCGAGCAGGTTATCAGATAGACCCCTGACAGGAGCGTAGTGCCCCATTCAAATAAAAAGTGTCAAGACCCAGCGTGGAGGGCCCCCCGAAAGATCGAGTGTACTCGAGGAGAACATCAGATGGCCCCCGACATGAACGTGAGGCGCCACATAAAAATACCCAATGTGCAGGGCCCCAAACAATCCAGAGCGCCCGAGCATGTTAACAGATGGGCCCCGACAAGTGTGTAAAGGCCCCCATTCCAAAACAAAGTATCCAAAATCCAATTTGGAGGGCCCGAGCAACCGAGTATGCCCAAACAGATTAACAGATGGGCCTCGACAAGAGTGTAGCGCCCTACGCAACCGACAGAAAATTGGAAGCGCCGTAGACCAATGTCGAGGGTACATGAGCATATCCCAGGGTGTCAGTAAGTTAACCGAGACCGACGCGAAGGGCCCCTGAGCAACCCAGGATACCCTGGCAGGTTAACAAATGAGGCCACAGCTATAGCATACAGAGCCCTTCTGACGAATGGAAAGAAACCGTGGAAGGCCCCTGATTGACAAGTGCTCCCCGGCACACCAGCAGAAAGAGTCCAGCGACAATGCAGAGCCTTCGCAGCAAATGCAAGGGAATCGAGGACAATGCGGAAGGCTCCCTAACGGTCGGAATCATGCTGCAAGTGAGCATATAGGTCTCCCGGAAACAGCGTAGGGCCCCTGAATCGCGTAATAAGGCTTAAAACTCCCAACTAACAGTTTTTCAACCGCTGAAGCATTTTTATTTCCTTTTTTGTCTTCCTGTTGCCCTTCTCTTTCGCTGGCAACTGTTCTTGGTCGCCTGGGAACCCAAAGATGCTCAATTTCGTTGCGTTTTGTGTTAAAAAGCTGCACTTATTTGGCCGATTATGGGTCTCTTCGGAGCCTATGGATCTCTCTGGGGCCCAAAGGAGAGGTTTATGGTCCCATGCCCCCCCCCCCCCCACATCCATTCTGCCTGGATCCGCCCCACACTGTGAAAATGCCTTTTTTTGCTCCAGAGGACGAGTGTTCACCAAGGCTCGGTGGCAAATAGCTGCCTGCACTCAGTCCGCGATTTCGTGCTAATAAATGTAAAATGCTTCGTCTTGGCAAACAGTTATGTGCCGCCCTCGGCAGGAAGCATGTTATATAACGGAATCCAGGCGGACGGCAAGCATGGTGATTAATTCAGCCGCATCGCTGCTCAGTGCTTCAATTATGCATTGATTATTTTCCAGCAATGCGACGGAGCTCGGCCAAAAGTCTTTTCAACATGAAGCACCTCTATAATTGCGGTGATCGAAGGCTGCAGCACATTTGCGAAATGATTAATGTTGTGTGCGACCACATTACCTGCCAGCCACCGACGGCTCACTGCTTCATGAATCATTAAGACAATGATATTTTGCCATCATTAATTCTGAACCGTCGGCTCAAGGTCAAAGAAATACGGTTAGCATTCTGCCTACTGATGACCACGTCACTGTGTGCATGAGTGCTTCTTAATCACGATTTCCAAACATCTACTAGCACTTTTTACTTATCACGTGCCTTCGCAACCACAATGTGTCCAGTGAGCGTGTGGGTGGGAAAAAAACACTGTATCTAAGGGCATGCCGGATGAGAAAATAAAGTGCGTAAAATGTGTATCCAAAAGACTTTGAATAATAAACAATTACGGGAGAGTTACCAGGACAATACCTGAAGAGATAAGGCGCGAATGACAGAGAGACGGTGCGGGGCAGGTGCCGAGTACGCCACGGGGCGAGATAGACGGAGTGGAAGAGAAGGTAGATAGAGCAAAAGACAAAAGTAACGCCTTTGGCGTCACTTTTGCCTTTGGCACCAAAGACAGAAATGACACGCAAATTATAAATGCTGTTTCGCACTGGAGGAAGCAGACATGTGCATGAATGCACCTGGCTTTACGGCAGGATTGAGATGAAGCATTCGTTAAACGGATGGAGTAGTTGTTCGGATCATCGCCCCCGTCTGGTGTGGGCTGTTACATACTCTGCGTTTCAGCCGGTCAGCCCTCGGGCCGTTATCAAGTGTTATGGAGTCTTTAGAGTATTTACTGAATGGTATTTGGTTGTCAGCCATGCGCGCGTCGCAATCCAAGTACTCTCCTTGTAGTTCATGAGATTCCAAACAGGGTCTTCTGATTGTCAGGCTCTTCTGCTCGCAATTTGAAGACCCAAGGAAAAAATTTGGGTTGTAACCAGCGGTGTCACTTTCTGGATTCCGGTGGGAGGGGAGAGGGCTTGGCCGATCAGGCTGGCTTAAACCGCCGCTCAGACTTTAATTTTTCCGCACACTTTTAAACTTGTTTTGCTGCCAAGGAACGACTTCCCAGTTCAAAGTGTTGTAAGGCTACATTTTTTTAAAACCTATTAGTTTAAATGATGGAACCTGGCAGTTAAGGTAGTTTAAATTGTTGCTCTTCAGTCTATGTGCATTAATTCATATAAATATATAAACTCATAGAAATTTATAGAAATTCATAGAAATTCATAGAAATTCATAGAAATTCATAGAAATTCATAGAAATTCATAGAAATTCATAGAAATCCATTATATAAATTCATAGAAAAAACATTTAGTAATTCGTTTAATTGCTATCGACAATAGCCGTCGTTTATCGTTAATTGAAGGTGACCGGGGGTGCAAAAGACAGTTTTATGTGGAATGGCGTGGTCTGACGTGTACGGACGAGGGCCCATGGTATATTTCTTAGTTCACGGCCATAATGTCGATTTTTGTTTAAAAGTAAAACTGGTTCTTCCTTGCTCTTAACTGGCACCTTTTATTATCACGATTTGATGGGCTCGGAATCACTGATGACTGCTCTTGTCTCCGTGCTTGCCATTCAGTTGGCAGTCGAATAACGCGACAGTCACGGAGGTGCTACTAGGTACACTTTGCGATGTTGAGGGAAACATAGCGTAAGTATTATCTGAAGCACCTTGTACTTTTAAAGGAGGAAAATTTGGCAGTCCATTGTTCTTTATACCAATCCAGGCATTGTCATGTGAGAAATTGTCAAACATTCGCAGACTGAGCTAACATAAGCCGATGTTGGTATGCTAAAACAAATAAGGTACCAACCGGACAGAATTGGTACAAACTGAACACAATAACAGCAGGGATGTGCCTCGGTATTAGTGTACCAATAACTAAAAATGTGTTCTGCATTTCATCGAGCCAGCATTCCCTCTTTGCTCATATGTAATGAGGGGACTTAGAGGAGTACTGAGGAGAGGTGGGGAGTACTGGGGAGGGGTGGGGATTACTGGGGAGGGGTGGGGATTACTGGGGAGGGGTGGGGAGTACTGGGGAGGGGTGGGGAGTACTGGGGAGGGTGGGGAGTACTGGGGAGGGGTGGGGATTACTGGGGAGGGGTGGGGATTACTGGGAGGGGTGGGGATTACTGGGGAGGGGTGGGGAGTACTGCGGGGAGGGGTGGGAGTACTGGGGAGGGGTGGGGAGCACTGGGGAGCGTGTGGGTTACCTCAGCAATGAGGGGCTCAGGCCCGCCCCCCGAAACCATACAGATGAACGCACTCAGTTGTGACACATACATGGGTGAAAGCCAAACACCAGCCAGTCCTTCTAAGGACGGGCTTCTAAGGACTCCATATCACCTGATGACGGTTGGATTGCTAGTTGGCCGCAGTGTCGCGTTCATACCAACACAAAAGGCGGGGACGATAGCTCGAACAATTACCTCATCCGTGATGAACGCACCCTCTGTGGCATTTGCATGCGTCGTTTACGGCATATGGCTTCTTCTGCTTTTTCTCCCACACATCGCTTCTTTGCCTGGATGGCCTGCGAGATGGGCGAGCTGGCGCTCTGACGCACCCACCTTCTCCGTGCAGGTTCCGGCACACACTGAGGCCGTGATGAAGTTCTTTTGTCCGGGAGGGATCAGCTGGGTGGACGTAACCGAGTGCCCCACAGACAGGATGCCCGCCTCCACCGGGCGAAGCGAGCGTGTGAAGAACATCTCGATGCCGCTGCTGTCCTTCAAACCTGCGAGGCAGCGCCGAACACTGACCAAACGTCGCGGCCAACACGTCTGGGCGATAAAAGAAGACGACACTTGTCTTAGGCGGATCAAAGATGTCCACGAAAAGAGGTGAAGAGAAGACAAAAATGAGTGAAGTAAATGGAGCCTGTCACCTTTGATAACCCATGCAACTAGGGTTTAGCCGCATCGGAAGTCCTTCCTAGTATGCAGAAGGCAGAAGTCTACTAACAGTTGACATCCATCCAATTTGAGCAATATGCGAGGCTATAAATGACGTTGCAGAAATTTTGCTTGTTGTTACTTTCGACATACTCCGACAATGAATAGCATATTATGCAGTCACGTGGTAGGTAGATGTTTTGTTCATCTGAGAGGCAATGCAACTACACTGCATGGTACTGAAACAACACTTAACTGCACGTGAACAGCATCATCCACCTGTAAGGGGGCTGGACAACGCGGTTCTTCACAGCCGGAGTACGAAGAAAAAGCAACACTCGACATTACAGCGTGTGCGCGACCGATGCAATAGCCACCAAGGCCAGGCTCCTAGGCCCTGGCGGTCGCCAAAGCTCCGGTGTACTAAGTCATGCACGAATGTTCGTTTATATGTATATTTGTATGCACAGATGCTGCATGCACGTGTGCCGCATTTGTATGCATATATGCTGCACACATGCGTGTGAGTGTGTATGTATGCTTGCATGTGTGTGCATGTGTGTATTCATGCATGCATGTATGTATGTATGTATGTATGTGTGCATGCGTGTATGCATTCATGCATGCATGCATGTATGTATGTATGTGTTACGTCCATAGGACCATCCACCACGGAGCGTGGCTATTTCTGCCCCATGTCCAATGTGCAATGTGATAAGAACATGCAGGTAAAAAGACAACAAAAAACATGTCACGCACCGACACCCATTCATCGGTTACCAACAGCATTAGCGTTCGGACAGGTACGCTCTCAACGAGTGTACGAAACGCTGCTGTATTAGTTGCTTGATGCCGGCTGGCAGTGCGTTATGCAATGCTGGCGCGTGTTATTCAAAACGTCTCCTACCGGCCTCGGTTCTCGACCTAAGGAGGCGTAGAAGCTGTCCTGCCGAGTGGGTCGGGCACGTGTGACGCGGTTTAACACAAACATGGGCCTTAGCACATCAGGCTCGCCGTGCAGTATTACCTTATGGGCTTGGGTGAATGCCTGAAACTCCGCCATGTGTTGGAGCGATATCCATCGAAGGGTTTCACGCAGGTGAGACACAGGGCTAAATTTACGTCGGCCAAAAATCACTCTGGCAGCAAAGCTTAGGATTTAAAAAAAATTATTAAAGTTTTATGTGTGCCATTGCCATAGACCGTGAGACAATATCTGACCCGAGTGAGCACTACCGCCGTCACCAGGGTTTTGATCGCGCCATCTGGAAGGAGGCGTGTGGCGCAGTGGGACAGGCCTATCAGCACGCCCACATGCCGGTGGCTGAGCGCAGACACGTATGCATCCCAGGACAGGTCGCTGTAAAAGACGACACTTGGGCTCCTCAGCCCCGCAAACGGCCGCAGCGCGACGTCACGAAAAGTTACTGTCTGGAAGTCCGGAAGAGTCTAGAAGTCTAGAAGTCAAGTCCGGAGGAGCACGTAAATTTTGACGACCGCCTAAAGTGATGACATGCGTTTTGGCCGCGTTCATTTTAATGGCATGCGAACGGAACCAGCAGCTGAGTGACGCGAGCGATGCCTCCATGCGGGAGATAAGTCCCCCAAGGTCGTCCTTCGGAACGCGCACCAAAACCGGGATGTCATCTGCATATTAAAAAGACGCCTGTCCTTTTATGCGTACAAAAAAGGTCATTCGAGAAAACTGCTGAAAGAGTGGGCCTAGTACTGATACTTGGAAGTCCTCCATGTTGTCGGCAAGCGGGCGTGACGTCACCCTGCGTCTGGATCCATCATTCAGGCACACACTCTGGGTGTGCCCCTGAAGATAGGCGGCAAACCAGGAGTTCTCAACACCATGCATCCGTAGCTTCTGAATAAAAATCTGGCGATAAATGACGTCATCACATTTATTTAGATTAGTAAGGCACAATAGTGAGACCTCTCCCTATTGCTGGCGCCAAGAATGTGATCGGAGACAGACACTAGCGCAGTCTCCGTCGAGTGACGGGAACGGAAATCGTGGTGGGTGGATGCAAGGAGATGGCTGTAGGATAGGTAACGGTAAAGCTGCCGTAGGACGACTCGCTCGACCACTTTGGCGACGATAGGAACGAGGGATAGCGGACAGAAATTGGACGGGTCAGATGACTTGCAGGCCTTGAAAATGGGATGGACCAGGCGAATGTTTCCAAGCGCCGGGGATATCTGAATAGGCAAGCGGGAGTTGACAATGTGAATGATGACGTCACGATAGCTGAGGAGTCGGCCTTCAGTATGCGGACACACAGACCATGTGATTTACAGGCCGCTGAGTTCCGCATGACGAAGACTGTGCGTCCCAGCATCTCTCAAATAACAGGCGAAACCACAGACGCGCAAACCCCGACTTGAGCGAGACGTGTCGCTAAACAACAGCTGGTCCTCGTGCCGTTATTTCGGCAGCGACACGAACAATTGAAAACAACGGCCAACTTAAGCAAAAACTCGTCTAGCTGATCAGCTGTCGCGTCCGCTCGGATCGGCGGTCCCTCCCTGCTCCCAGTTGCTACGGTCATTATGCAAGGTTACACTTTACCTGGACCCTGCTCGCTTGTCTCCCTTTGGATCTCATTATGCCGATTGCTGCAGATGGCGGATCAAACGGCACGATTCAGCTCACGGTACTCGCACGAGTCTCTCCCGGAACGCGCCAAAGCGGCCCCACCGGCGGGCCGTAAGATCTCGAGTGGCGGCGGAGGTGGGAGGGGCGGTGAGGTTACCAATGTTTAGTTTCTTGATAGTCTACAAATGCGGTTCACTGATCATTGATGGCCTGGGCAGAGAAAACTTTCCTAAATCACCACAATGAAGATCGAGGTTAAACGAAGCGGATGCAAATGCGTTTCAGGCAGGCGGGATCAAATACCAGTAAGCTTAACTTCGAGGTTTCGGAACATTCACAGGACACTTATGACAGTTTCAGAGCGCGATTTTGGTTTCATTTCTAGACGCAGCTGGCCGGCCCCAAGGATTAGCGCTGCGCATCTGCTTCAGAGACGCACGCGCAGCCTACCGGCGCGCACGTGAGGAGAGCTGTTTGTGCCCGAATGGACCGAGAGGTGCAGGTTCTATTTAGCCTCATTACGTACGTGGCGGAGAGCCGCGAGCCGTTTTGACGCGCGAGGGCAGTTGTGATGCGGTCTGCAGCGCTCGCGGTCATCGCTAACGACCGATGATTGCGTGTCTCACTTCAGCGCCGTTCGTTGTAATTGAGGACTTTATACGACTTCGGCAGCTTGAGGTGAACACCATGTTGGCACGGTCTGAGGCTTTGCTGAGGGCTGATCCTGACCCTTCTCTCATAGTCATTCCTGAAGGGGTTCCACGTCCTTACT